ACTCTTTCCTTAAATTTAATACACCAAGGTGTTGCTCATCCTAAAATTATCGGTGGACTCTTACCTGGGCAAGGCCTAATATTGCACATGATTACTTCCACAGCATTCCCATCGCATGGCCGCCCACCATGCTGAGCTAGTGGATTACTGCAAGTTCTGGTCCTGGTTCGGTTGCCACGTCCACAGCTCCTTGTACATTCTTCCCAAGGACTCCATTCTGACCAGCTCCCATCCACTGCGTGAAGGTGAACCATTACACTGTCAGGTATATTTCAACGAATAGTACCAACGCTAGAAGGAGACCCATGGCAAGTAGTTCAGGGAGCCAGATCCCACATGGCCAACTACAGTCAGGGTCCAGGACCCAGTGGCTTGAAAAACAAGCAAGCTATAGGGTGTGTGTGTCCCAAATCCTGACAGGATGGAAAAATGGAGGAGAAGGAATTATGGCATGACCACAGTCCATTGAGGGGGATATTTTCTACTTCTCTTTTCTGTCTTTCTATGGTGAGTACATGTGCTCTCTGGCTGTATATATATATACAAACATATATGTATATTTATGTGTGTGTGTGTGTATACATACATATATACACACACACATAAAATATATAATATATATTTAATATTAACACACACACACACACACACACACACATATATACACATACACATATACATAAAGAAGAATGCTAACTGGGGCTGGCAGGTGGCATAATGGTTAGGAGCACTGGATTCCCACATGGCTGACCATGGTTCACGTCCCCGACTTAGAAGCTTGCTTTCTTGCTTTCTTTCTCTCTCTCTCTTTCTATGTCTCACTCTGGTCAAACTGAAAGTAACAATAACGATAAATAAAATAAAGGAACTAATTCTTTAAAAGAATAAATAAAGAAGAGTACTAATTAACCGAGGATATAGGTAGAGAACAAAAATGAACATCTACTAAACACATGCCCACCAGCTGAATGCAGAGGGGTACCTGGACACAGCTTGTTCTGACAGTTTCTCATCTCTGAATCTGACCCTTGGCAAGACCTCCCACCATTGGCCGGCAGGGGACTATTGCATAGACGACTCCTCTTCTGGATCCCTCTTCCACAGGTGACACTGCAGGACCTCCATGCTGACCACTGAGAAAATCCACCGTGAACTGCGAATAAAACGTCATACTTTTTAAAAGAAAACATTGTCAGTCAGATTCCATTGAAGACATGCACTGGGTGTAGAGATGACCAGTAATTACTGAGAAACAGCTGACAGAGGCTCTCCTTTAAAGCAAATTTAAATCTAAGGGTAAGAGAAGAACTTCCCTTAACTCAAGTGCCTTTTCAGACCCAATCCTGACTCACTGGCCACAGCTCCCGAAAAATGAGAGACCAGGAAGTTTCTGTACTATTTATCTCTTGGATATAAATCATTCTTTAAAGCAAAATACATACATTGATTTCTGAGAATAAATTTGACTTAGTTTTGAATCAAAATTTTCATTTGGGATTTTGAATGATTAAGTCAGTATTTCAAAGCTCTAACTGTACTGTCAAAGTCCCTTCAGCCTGTACAGTGATGTGATTTTGTTCTGTCTCCATCATCTAGAAGAATCTTAGGTTAGAGACCTGGATTAAGATGCTTAATTTTTATGATACAGCGGCTCAGCTGCAGTGGAGTGAGCTACTAAAATACTGTGCTCTATAGGCTGGGACCACATTGGAGGTCATGGTTCAATTCCTAGTCCAACCCATAGGCTGGGTGCAACGGTTTGTGCCTGTAATCCCAGTGACTAGGGACCGAGGAAGAATTGTGGGCTGGAGGCTGACTTGGGTAAAAAAGAAGATCTTATGTAAAAAAAATAGTAATAATAACAATAACACTTTTTATGATTTAGGTTGTCCCATGAATAGCCCTCGGACCACACGTACCCTGGACTATGAGCGGCACTCTGACAAGGACAGAACCCATCAAGTTCCGAGCAACACATTCGTAATCAGAGGTGTCTTCTTTCTGAGCGGCAGCAATATACAGTGAGTTGTTGGGCAGCACTCGGACTCGCTCATCCCAGGGGATGGAGTGCCCTTGACGGGACCAGGCAATGGTCGGACGCGGTTCTCCAGTTGCCTGACAATTCAATGTGACTTTGCTACCAGCATGGGTGACAGTTTCCACGGGTTCAAGAGTGATAATAGGAGGACCTGCAGGAAAAAGCACAATGAGTTTGACACTCTTGGCAAGTCCCAGATAATGTGTGGTTCTTATAAATGCCCAATAACATCCTATCTGCTGTATATAGTAAACTCATTCTAGAAACTTCCAGGGCCGCTGCTTTTATTTCTCCCCTAGCATTCAGATTACATTATATGGGGTCATCAGAAAAGTCATGATGCGGTTTTCTATGCTAAAATAAGTCATGACTTTTTCGATGACCCAGTATACTTAATCAACTGTAGCTGAATAAATACCTCATAATTATCAGCCAATACTAAATGACAACATAATGACTAAATAAGCATGTGTTCAAATTAGTATGGTCAAAGACTATGCTAAATAGACTCACAGTTAATTTAGATGTCATATTGGAATATGTCTAGTTGTACATAGACGATAAATTAATATACATGATAAAATTTTACATGTGCATCTTTAAGGTCAAATTAATTCAGTAAGTCATATCATTATCCATTAAATACAAGTGTTTTATCAAAACGAAAATAATGTTTCTGATACTTTAATCTTAAACCAAATTATATTTTTGGTTTTTTTTTATATGTCTCTTTTATTAAAGTGAATTCATTGTCAGTGCATATAGTCGAGCTAATATAATGTGGCCTTCTTAAACTAGGTCAGCAGAATATTCTAGGAGAAGTGAATCAGGTGGTACCTTACCTACATACACTTAACAGCGAGGAGGGACAGGGACCAGCAGGTGGTGTTACGGTTACCTCACTGGACTCCTACATAGTCGGCCATAGTTTGGGTCTCAGACTGGCACCTTAAAACTTGTGCCAGGTGCATGCCCAAAATCCCGAGAGGAGAATGGAGGAGAAGGGATTGCAGCATGGCCATCCCCCCATGGGGTGATTTTTTGCTTTCTGTCTCTCTGGCGAGCGCATGCGCCATCTTTAAGGTCAAATTAATTCAGTAAGTCATATCATTATCCATTAAATACAAGTGTTTTATCAAAACGAAAATAATGTTTCTGATACTTTAATCTTAAACCAAATTATATTTTTGGTTTTTTTTTATATGTCTCTTTTATTAAAGTGAATTCATTGTCAGTGCATATAGTCGAGCTAATATAATGTGGCCTTCTTAAACTAGGTCAGCAGAATATTCTAGGAGAAGTGAATCAGGTGGTACCTTACCTACATACACTTAACAGCGAGGAGGGACAGGGACCAGCAGGTGGTGTTACGGTTACCTCACTGGACTCCTACATAGTCGGCCATAGTTTGGGTCTCAGACTGGCACCTTAAAACTTGTGCCAGGTGCATGCCCAAAATCCCGAGAGGAGAATGGAGGAGAAGGGATTGCAGCATGGCCATCCCCCCATGGGGTGATTTTTTGCTTTCTGTCTCTCTGGCGAGCGCATGCGCCCTATAGCAAAAATCTCTTAAAGAAAAAAGACAGGAGGGAGGGCATAGGAGTAACATTTATTTTGAAAATGTGGCCTATCATGTTGTCTGCCTGTCCAATCATCTATCATGTGGCCATACTACATTTCTGGAAAGATCTACAGTAAAGAAACATCTAAGCAGGGCTGGACACATACTAGGTGTTCTTTTTACGCTCAGTAAATAGATGTTTTTTTCAGTCTTACTTGACTGTAAAATCCTATTTTTTTCCTAATCACATCCCACAAAATTATCATTAGACAGATATATACTTGAATAAAATAGTACCTGACCTGTCTATTCAATCTATCACTTACTCAGGTTTTGCAGAACTGGAGTTTGGCACATAGCTGTTAGGAAATACTAGTGCAGAATATCACTCAATAGTGAATTAAAAAATGTCAATTCATCCTGTTAAATACTGAGCCTATTCTCAAAACTCATGGGCATGATTGTATTTTCAACCCCATGACTTGGTCTTGGGGCCAGCCCTGGAAGTGGTCTGTAGACTCTCTAGTGGGCCATTGGAGCACTTCACGTTTCCTAACTACAGAAGATCTTCCCATGGCTGTTGCTGCGGGGCTTCATGATAAGCAGGAGGGTTCTACCCACAACACAGACTGACTTCACAGAAGATGGAGAGCAACTGACCTGGACCACATCTGAGCTCATTGACATTAGCCTTTACTTTTAATACATATTTTTAACGTGTCATAAAACGACATGTTTATAAGCATGTTCTCAGAACAGTGGTAAATTACAAGAAAAGTATTTCACTGAATATGGAAACTCCACGGAATATGCCGCCGATCATTTACATCTTGCCTATGTTAGATCAAGTATGTACTTTTGAACCTTTGCAAAAGTACATCGGTTTTATTTTGGAAGATGATTGCTCCATCAGCAGCAAACTAAATTAGACGCACCCTGAGCGCTATTACTAATAGCTGGATAACAAGGTTTCAGTCAACAGTGGATAGCTTATACCATGGTGACCCCCAAGATGATAATGGAACTGAAGAATTCCTATCACCTAGCAATGTCCAAATATAATGGCGATGTTTGAGGTGATATGGTGTAAACGGACCTACTGCATTGCTAGTCACGTACAAGTACCGCACCTACAATTATGTGTAGTATAAACACTTCACAATGATAGTAAACCACTATGTTACTGGCTTATGTTACTATATGGTATTTTTAATCATCATTTTAGAGTTCACTCCCTCCACTTATAAAAAACAAAATTTACTCTAAACAGGATGCGTGCTAAGTCGGCAGCAGCTGCATGTATCTTGTGCTGTCCATGACGCTTTTTTTGAAGCTAACCTAGAAACTTTGTTTATTCATGAACATAATTTTAAAACAATTCCCTTTTACAGACACACTAGCAATCATGGGATTTCGCTTGGCTATTTGACATATACCCGTACTAAACGCTAATCACGACTCTTAACCGCATCATTTTCTTTTGGACTTAAATTAATCATGGGTTATTTTGTTCATCATGGCTCTTCCACTGTGACAAGACTGGAGGGGAAGACAGTGATATTGATGATGCTGACCCTGTGTAGACCTATACCATGTGTGCATTTATGTCTTACTTTTAAACAAAAATGTTCAAAAAGTAAAAACAAAATGTTTTAAAAATAGAAAAAAACTTAATTGAATAAAGACATAAAGAAAGAAAATATTTTTGTGCAGCTATACAATGTTTATTTCTTTATTTTTTTGCCATAAGGTGTGTGCTGGAGAGAGACAGAGAGACAGAGAGACAGGGAATGTGAGAAATCATCTCCCTGGGGGATGGTCAATGCAGCAATCCCTTGATCTCTATTCTCCTCTCTGGGTATTGGGCATGCATATACACATGCCCAGCATGATTTTCAGGCTGCAGGGTCTGGGACTCAAACCCTGGGTGGCCATGTGGGAGCCTAGTACCTTAACCGCCATGCTACCTACTGGCCCTGATATGTTTTGTGTTTTAAGCTTAGTGTTACTATAAAAGAGTCAAAAAGTTAAAGAAAATAAGGTTCACAAGGCAAAATAGTTACAGTAAACAGATGTTCATTTGTTATTGAAGGAAAAGTCTTTTATACATTTAGAGTAGCCTAAGTGTACAGTATTTATAAAGCCTACAGTAGTGTACGGTAATGTCATAGGCCTTCAACAATTGTTCACTGCTCACTAGCCAATCCACCTAGAGCACCTTGCAGTCTTACAAGCTCCATTCACAGTAAGAGTCTTACGCAAGTATACTACTTCTTTTAGGCTTTTATACCATATCCTTACTCTCCCTTTTCTGTTTAGGTATGTTCCCATACACGACTATGACTGTGCCGTGACTGCTTAGAGTTCAGTCCACGTGTCAGGCTGTACAGACCCATAGCCTGGCAGCCACAGGCCAGGCCATCCCCCTTTGGTGTATAGAGGGCTACGGTGCCCAGGTTTGCATAAACACACTCACACTTCCACCAGGGCAAAATGGCCTGACAATGCATTGCGCTGAACATATCTGGTGGGTGAGTGACATATGCCTGTACTTGCCATAAAATGAAAGAAAATGGACATTCTTTATTGGACAACATTTTTTCAGTGGAGTGTCTACTGCGGGCCGACGGGGCAGCTTACTTTGCAGGGTCAGACTCATGCTGCGCTCCACCACGCCAGCTTCGTTGGTAGCGACGCACGTGTAGTCACCGGCATCTTCATTCTACGGATCAAAATGTATTTTCATAAAAATACGAGCCTACAGAGAAGGACGAATTGCTTTTATTCGTAGTGATGAGAGTTTATTTGAAATTTCAGTTTTGACAAGACATCATAATGGAAATATAAAAACCTACGTATCTAACTCATAAATAACGGAGGAGGAGAAGGGAAGCAGTAAAGAAACGCCAAGCCTAAAGTTTTACACAACAGCCTCTCACTGATCTCCAGGAATTGGTAGGAAACCAAAGGAAAAATAACATTATTTTGCATTCATCTTTCTGAAATGATATTACTAACAAAAAACACCTGTGCTATTTTAATGAATATCTTACAAAGCATTAAAATATCAAGACAAAAGAATAAATATCAAGTCCTTGTAAAAGATTATTTATTCCATGAGTCAAATAGGCAGAGAGACAGACAGGGGCACAGTGCCCTCAACAGTCTCAGTGACACAGTCTAATCCCCTCCCTCACTTCGGCCAGCCCAGATCATGGACATGTATGTACCTGGAATATTCAGGAAGGTCTCTGGACACTATCCTATAAATTTCCCACGTGTGTCTACCTCATGAGATCATTGCCTTTTACCTCTGTACCACTGTCTGTCACCCTCAAGTCCTTTCTGATAGGAGTTCTTAAAAAATACATTAAGCCGAGCCTCTGCCCAGAGAGTGAAATTTAGGAAAGTGAAAAACTAATCCACTTGTAATCACACATCACAGAATGTTAGGCATACATTTATACAGATACGGTAATGAAAAGTACATACACAAATTTGGACTATAGTGACTAGATCTGCAGATTTCTATAAAGGTCTTGTGAATGTGGGCATTCCGATTCATTAAGGCAAAGCGTGAGCTAATTACAGGGACTGCTTTGCAGGAAGTAGAGGAAAGTGAGAGGAGGAAGATGTTGATTGAGATGTTTAACTTGAGGTTTCAATCCATTATCTACATAGAAGTTTTTAGTAGGCAGCTAGAAATGGAAGTTTTTGGTTTGGGGATAGATGTTTAGAAATCTGAAGTCATCTGGTGAAAAAAATGTGTAATAACATTGGTATAAGCTAAAGTAACAAGGACTTCAGAAATATATAGATTTGGCTGTGGAGTCAGAAGGCGCAGTGGTAAAACGGGACCCTCTGTGAGGTGGACGTATACAGGGAAGTTCCGGGTTCAGGTCTAGAGACTTCTCTGAGTGTTCTGTGACGTTATTTCTGTGCTGAGCTACTGTAATACGAGTGTAAGTCTTCTTCCCATTATTTTTCTATTTTTCCTCTGTACAGATATTACTATTTCTTTTGCAAAGTTTATTTATTTATTTCTTCTGGGAGTAGAAGACACTGAGAGAAAGAGAAACAAAGAAACAGCACTCCCAGCAGGGTCTTGATGTTGTGATCCACCCTTAGCTTCAGTCAGCTGCTTGTACTTATTTGAAAGGGTAGAAAATCACAATAGCAACCATTGTTTCAGTGTTTTGACAGAGCACACTGGGTTGGGTATTAGGATGTAAACAAGAATGTAAAAAAAAAAAAGTTTTTCATCTGTGGCACTTTTTATTTATTTTAGTTTTCTTTCAAGAGAGTGAAAGACAGTGAGAGAAAGAGAGTGAGAGCGAGAGAGAGAGAGAGAGAGAAGGAGAGACAAACACCCTCAACACTGTGGTCCCTGTCCTAGCTCCCCCAGCCAGCCAAGACCATGGTACACATGCCTGTCAGACCAGGGAACCAAACCCATGACCTTCCGTATGGAACCACCATTGCTAGAGCCTGTGCTATGCTGTACCTCTGGCTAGCCCTCCTCTGTGGCACTCTCAGAGGGCTCCAGGTGTGTGGGTTCAAGAGCACCCACATTGTAGTTGACTTACTACGGTGCCATAGATGGCCAGGGAGCCGTTGCCCAGCTGCTGGATCCTGTGGCTGATTTCAATATCCACCCCCTTTCTGCTCCACTGGATGGTTGGGGCAGGGTCTCCTTTCACCTCACAATCCAGGATTGCATTACCTCCAAGTGGTTCGATCCAGTTAGAAGGATAATCACCTTTGAAGACCGGAGGTTCTGGGAAATAATGGAACACAGGTATAAAAGAGCGGTTAGCACTGATTTTCTCTCTCTCTTTCTCTCTCTCTCTCTTTCTCTCTCTCTTTTTAGAGAGATTTTTGCTATGGGGTGTGTGCATTTGTCAGAGAGACACTCGAAAGCGAGGAATCACTTCCCCCCTGCCCCCAGGGAAGATGGCCACGCTGCAATCCCTTCTCCTCCATTCTCCTCTCAGGATTTTGGGCATGCGCACACACCCCCATGCCTGGTGTGATTTTAAAGCCTCTGGATCCAAGACTTGAACTGCAGCGAGCTATGTGGGAGTCCAGCAACATAACCATTATGGCATCTGCTGGTCCCCAACTCTCATTTTTATGATGTTTTTGCTGTGCAGTGTGTGTACTAGCCAGAGAGAGAGACCGAGAGAGAGAGAGAGAGAGAGAGAGAGAAGGAAAGTGAGAAATCACCCCCCAGAAAGGATGGCCATGCAGCAATCCCTTCTCTCGCACCCTCCCCTGGGAATTTTGGGCATGAACACCCATGCTCACATATTGTCTAAGCCACTGGGTCCGGGACTTGAACTGGGCAGCGGGCCTTGTGGAACTCAGCTGCCTTCAACACTACACCACCTGGCTGGTGTAGCACTGATCATTCTTTGTGACTTTTGATTTGTTTAGAAAGATAATATGCAAAAGGGAGGGACTAGCCACTTTACAACTTCATAAATTTCTTCAAATTTGACAGCTCACGCTAAATCATCAGGTCATCTTGTCAATTTCAGTCCTCTGAGGGGATGATCCCACTTTGTGCCAGCTGAATGCTTTTCTTACTTCCTACCCACTTTTACTGAGATGACTGCTCACAGTGTTTTCTCAGGAGTTTTGACATTTGTCAAACAGAGCTACATGGAGGAAAAGACTAAAGATAAACTGTAGTACTAGAGAATAAGGAAACAACACTCAGACCAACCATTCCCTATAAATAAATGATACAAGTTTATAATGGAGCACTTTTGCCTACCTTTCACATAAACAAATCCAATTGCCTTCACAAAACCAACACTGTTCTCTGCAGTGCACACGTAAGTACCCGAATCCTCTTTTGAAACTCTTTCAATAACAAGTTCACTGTGTCCATTGACACCATCAAAGTGAGCTGAAGGAAACAAGTTAGAAAACAACACAAATGCCTCTTAGTGACCTAGGAAAAGTTTTAAAACAACTCAGTATTTTGCAGCTTAGATTTATGAGTTGATCAGCGGTTGAACCAAAGAGATCTCCTCATGACTTTGGAAAAGAGAGAATTTTCCGCCGAGCTCTTCCTCTGAGCTATTGACTATATCTTCAGACGCGTGTTTGAAGAATGAAAAACAGCAGAAGGAACAGGAAAAGAGAATGAAAACAAACATCTTTAAAAAATTATTTTAGATTTCAAGTACACCTTTCATCTCAACATGTTGCTTAAAGCTGGCTCAGAGTCCTTCCGGGATTCAAAACTCTTTCATTCAGAAATATGACATTTTCCATTTCATGTTTCTCACCACCACTCTTCCTCCCAAACAATTTACATCAAGAACATGAAAACCTTTTGAGTTATAATTCAACTGACTTGGCAGGTCAAAGGAGAAGCCATAAAAACATATGCTAGTTAGGTAATAACAACATGATCAAATCTGTAATAACTTAAACTTCTCCATAATTCATAAGTGGTGATGATATAAATATTTACAAAGAGTTTTAACATTTGGAAGAGAAGATAAGGTAAATATGCTGATCTTAGAACAATCAATACTGAATAAGATTCCTTTAAAAGACTTTTTTTAATGTTTGATTTATTCTTTTATTAGTGAGAGAAAGTCCGTGTGTGCATATGAGAGAGAGAATGAGAGAGAAAGTCACCCTCTGAAGGATGTGGTCACGCTGCAGTCCCCCTTCCTTCAGCGCTGGGCATATTTCAGGTTAATGAAGTTGAGGATTCGAACTGTGGTTGGCCATGTGGCTTCTGGCCGTGCAGTTCAGTTCATTACCAACTGAGCCACAAAGGCTGGGCCATCCCATATGGGTTTCTGACTAAATCAGCTGATGTCAAATTATAAGTATGTATACACCCTTCTAACTCTTTTTAACATTTTCATACCGCTGACTATTAGGGAAAGGTTAAGCTTTAACCATTTAAATAGCTAGAGTAGTACCATACCTTGAGAAAATGGAACTGATTAGATTTTTAGACTTTGCTTTTCCTTAGTAAGGTGTATTATTTTTCTTATTTATTTACATTTTTTGGAGAGGTTTTTGCCATAGGGCACGTGCACCTGCCAGACAGACAGAGAGAGACAGAGAGACAGAAAGCGAGAAATCACCCCCCAGGGGGGATGGCCATGCCGCAATCCCTTCTCCTCTGTTCCCCTCTTGGGATCTTGGGCACGCACGCACACGCGCCTGGCATGAGTTTAAGCCACTGAGTCTGGGACGCAAACCGCGGTTGACTACATGGGAGTCCAGCGACATAGCCATTACGCTAACTGCTGGTCCCAGGAGTATTATTTTTATTATTGAGGCAATATAGTTGATGAATTTTAATCATTAACATAAATTTTATAACAGAAAAATAACTTCAAACTCACAGTTTATTAGTACTTTTCTAGCAATCATTTTAGTAAATGTCAATAGAGCAATACTTTAAAATTAACTTTTGGGATAGAGCAACTTCTCATCACTGATGACATCTTTATGCTGACATTGAAGTCTAACAAATGAGCTGATATCTGTTCTTCCAGAGATGAGTCCTCCTGGGTTCCAAGAACTACCTTCACATGTCAACGACACAGAGACTAGAAATTTTCTATATAAACTGACCTACACTATAATAAGGTGGATTCATACAATGAGATGCTGAGTTCTCCACAAAGGGAGCTGTGAATCTTTAGAAATGACAGGATACAGTTAGGTGCCTATGCAAGGGGATATTCAAAAAGTTCCTGGAGAGCAAGCATTATTTGAAAAAGTATGCATCAGTTTCACATTTTTTTCTGTACCAAAATAAACGTATCCTTTAATTTCATTTTTCCGTGAACTTTTTGAAGTTCCCTTGTATCTCTTTTCATCAAGGAGAAGAATTATTTTTAGGCAAAAAAAAAAAAAAAGAAAAAAAGAATACAACCCACAATATATGATTCTATGGCCAACTTATCCTTTCAAAATATTGAAAGGGTTCTATATACTGGGTAGAGGTAAAATCCCAACAGAAGCACCTATTTTATAGAATTAAAAGCAATTCATTCTTCATTTATAACTTTTCCATCGATTCCTACAGCTCGAGGAAACAGAGATGGTTTCGAGTTGGTCTAGAGTTCTACCTGGGCGCATTTATTCACTTAGGGAGGCACCAACCTGGGATAATATTGTTATTGAAGGTCCATGTTAATTTGGGCAATGGAATACCAGTTGCTCTGCAGCTCAATCGTAGCTGCTCTCCTGTGTTTAATGACACATCTCCAGGAAGTTCCATGAAAGTGGGGAGGACGTGGACAGTCAGTCGGACAGCGTGTGTATCTTCACCTGCAGCATTTGTAGCCACACAGGTATAGATGCCTGAATCCTCTGGCTAAAAAAAAAAAAAAGAAAGAAAAAAGATATAGTGCTTACAATTTCAATCTTAATAGAATGCATTAAACAGCATAGCTTGGCCCCCAAAACAGCACTATTATCTAAAAACAATTTAAACTCCATCTTTTACTCTAAACCATCAGGGTAGCTTTTGCATAATGTGAGAATGTAGTGAAGTTTAAACATAAGCCCAAACTTTACATAACTACAGCACTCATTTTATTGTAATAGGATTTCAGGAAAAAAATGTATTTATGTATTTAAAGCTTATCTATTTAATTCTTCTATGAGTGAGAGAGAGAGAGAGAGAGAGAATCCCCAACAAGGTCTTGATGCCATGATCACTCCCAGCCTTCAGCAAGCTGCAGACCATGGGCAAGTGTGTGCCTGGTATACTCAGAGGTCTTCAGACTTGAACTAGGAGCCTCCCCATGTGGGCTTGACTCATAGAGCATCATTTTCACCTCTGTACCACTGTCTGGACCCAGGTTTCAGAAAACGTTAGATTCTAGAGTTTACTAAACATCAAGTGTACTGCTGTTCTGCAAGGTACTAAGAAAGAACGAATAATCCCAAAGGCTGACGGTAATAACTTGACAGCTTGGTTGGCTTTCGGGGCACCAAAGATCACCAAAATTATCAGAGGAAACAGCCAGAGTAAAGGCCACATTACCTGCAGTCTTGGAGTTCACCTGCTGAATCCAATGGCCAGCTCCCCTTACTCACCTTGATGAATGGGCAAGAGTGGACATGTGATGACTCTCTTCTCATTGAAATCTTGTCCTCACTTGACTTCCAGGACACCACATTGTCCTAGGTCCCTCTCACCTCCTCTTTGTTCCCCTCAACATTAACATCTCAATGTTGGGGTGTGAAAGGGCTCAGTCTTTGGTCCTCATTTCTCCTCTATCTGGAGTTCATGCTTTGGGGAGCTCACACAGGGTTGTTGCTTTAGATACTATCTCGACACTGCTGACTACGAGTATGTCAGGGTGCAGAGCTTTCTTACATCAAACTTCTCATTCCCACTCTTTGGTTGGATGTCTAACAAACATACCAAACTCATGCCCAACACAAGACTCCCAATTTCCCCTTAACCTTTCCCAGGCTACCTGTAGCCTTCACCATTTCTTTTAATGTATCTGAATTATTGTCCCATTAAATTTTTTAACTTTTTCATTCTTTTCACTTAATCCCTCAAGGTCTAGGATAATGAGTGAGTGAGGGGGCAAATCTAACATTTCTGAACACAGAGGTCATGCTCACTAGAAGTGTTTAGCAACTTAAACCAAACAACAACAACAAAGATGTATTTTTTTTAAATCAATTTTAAAACTCACATCTTAAAAATTTTAATATCTTTGAAATTGGGATACAATTTAAACATTGATGGTCTGCTATACTTTACTTGGCTGCATATTTCTTTTTTTGTGGTATGTGAAATATTGGTGTATCTTACACTTCACGGAGACTTAGATTTGAATACATACAATTTTAGTTGGTACATGTGACTGAGTTACAGCCAATGACAGCTTGTCACTAGGACTTCTAGCTGTTAATTCCAGGAGTCTGACTAAATGGCTATACTCTAAAGTGAATGTGATCAATCTTACCATTGTAATATGTTCAGATTTAATCCTAAGTTTATTATTACTATTATTATTTAGGTTTTTGCCCTAGGACATGTGTGCTCACTAGAGTGAGAC